AAATTATTAGTATCCTTTGGCAATTTTCATTAAGGTTTTATGTCGTTGGTTTTCTCTTGAGGCTTTGCTTCTTTTTCTTTTTTGGCTTGGGACATATTCCTTTGCTTCTTCATTTTGCTTGACTCTCTGTGTTGGTGTCTATGCATGAGATAAAACAGCCACCTCTCTGGTCTTGAAGGAGTGGCCTCATGAAAGAGATGAACTTTATCGGTCAACCCTTCCCTAGACCATGGTTGTCTCTCAAACCTTAGTGATTGTTCAAACAGCCCATTTTATTTTTTAATGGCTCCTAGTAGGTAAAGACTTGCCAAGAACTCTCAGTGTTCCAGAAGGAAGGGTTTCCATCTGTACTTAGATTCAGGCTAACCGGAAGCCAATCCTCACTCAGGCAGCAGCTTTTCAAGTGTGTAAATATGCACTGACCTGTGGGCCTGTAAGCATAAGCTCCACTGGCCACAGTGCCAGCCAATCTAGAGCATCCCTAGGCCGCAGTCCCCCAAATCGGGGCTCCACACTAGTGTATAAACTCCTCTGGGAGACACAGGAGCTGTATCGAGGCAAAGGGAGAGGGCAAAGATGATGCACACTGGCCAATATTCCCTAGAGCGCATCTGTCTGGAGGCCCCTAGACTTGTGGCAAACCCGAAGCCTTCCCCTCAGGCAGCAGCTCCAGGACCAGCAAATAGGTCTCTTCCAGACAGACTGGGGTGTTTCAGTACGCAGTCTGTGCAGTGGCCTGAGGGTGGCAGCCTGCCAAGAACTTTCTCTCCAATTGTTTCAGTTCCATGGACTTAAGAATGCAAGTACCCCTGGCCCCCAGAACCAGGCAATCAAGGGGCATCCCCAGGGCAGAAGTAAAAATCGTGGCACCAGATACATGTAAAGGCTCCACTCAGGGAGATACCGGCTCTGAAGACAATGCTCACCATTGGAGTGAGGCAGAGGGGGAGTGCAGAGAAAGCATCCCAAGAAAAAAGGGGAAGGAGGGAGGAAGAAAATAAGAGAGGGAGGGATAGAGGGAAGGAGGGAAGGAAGGAAGGAAGGAAGGGAGGGAGGGAGGGAGGAAGGAAGGAAGGGAGGGAGGGAGGGAGGGAGGGAGGGAGGGAGGGAGGGAGGAAGGAAGGAAGGAAGGGAGGAAGGGAGGAAGGGAGGAAGGGAGGGAGGGAGGGAGGGAGGGAGGGAGGGAGGAAGGAAGGGAGGAAGGGAGGAAGGGAGGAAGGGAGGGAGGGAGGGAGGGAGGGAGGGAGGGAGGGAGGGAAGGAGGAAGGAAGGAAGGAAGGAAGGAAGGAAGGAAGGAAGGAAGGAAGGAAGGAAGGAAGGAAGGAAGGAAGGAGGGAAGGAAGGAGCCTAGAACTTAAAAAGAGATGGCACCCTTTGGCTAGAGCAAGGCAGAGAGAGCGCCTAGAGCTGGCACCAACCATTCTGTCCCTAAGAGCATTCCAGCAGGCCCCACCTGTGAATGTCAGTCAGATGCCTGCCCCTTGGGGCAAAGCTCCAAGACCAGCAAAGTGTTCACTCCACACAAACTCTGGTCCTCCAGGCACTTCTGCTGGGCCCGAGGCAACCGAGGCCAGGGAGCAGGAGCACTTCAGGTTTCTCAGGTCGTTGTAGCTAGAGGGTCTCATGGCTGCGAGCCCCACTGGTTTTCAAAGCTAAATGTTTTCGGGGCATCTCTCACATGCAGGTCTTAAAAGTCAGGGATTCCCAGTGTGGGATTCAAGCCCTTCCTTCCTCAGGGAGAAGCCCCATGTTTGGAGTTCCCTACTGGCTACACCAAAGGAGAGATTTATGGTAAGATTGTGTCCCAGCCCCTCCAAGTTGATGCATAGGAGTCTTGGGCGGGGCCAGTGTTTCAGTGTTTATCACAGGAAGTTGTTTCATCTATAGTGCAGATTCAGTGTTTTATTGGGACGAGGTGAGTTCATGATATCTTACTCGTCATCTTGAATCAAAACCTGGTTCCTTTCACCCCCCTTTTTTAACTATTCAGTTTTCTATTCAAATTCCCTTATTAGTTTAAATATGACCCCCATGCTTTTTAAAATTCATTATTATTTTTTAAAATCTCTTCTCTCGAATTACAAAAAGAGCTCTACATTCTTAATTGATAATCACCAATGACTCCCATGAACTCTATGTTCAAATGAATCATACAGTTAATAGAAGAGTAAATATGATGATAATCAATGTTTATACTTATGCAGGTATCTAAAAATAAATAAGGAGCTGGCTCTCTAATAACAATATACACAGAGAAACCATTTAATACTTAAATCTCTTAGCAAAGGACTTGGTCGAGGACACTGATAACTCGTCATTCGGTTGTAGTAAATTTTCTCATAAAGTTCCCTTTTTATTCATGACCAGACAATAAGGTCTGTGAATCTGGGAGACCTACAGTTACAGGTGTTGTTCAGATGTACTATTTTCATACCAGATGACTTAGATAAACGCTAAGCCATGCTACTCTCCATTACTCTGATAATGGCAGTTTTAGCCTTCTCAGCTGTCATGCAAGTAGAACGCCAAATTCAGCTGCCAAGTTTTCCGTTCAATGTGCGTCTCACCCAGGTACTCTGGAACTGTCTACCAAATACTGCTAGTTGCCCACCAACATTTGTTTCACCCTTCTATATCACAAAGAGAAACTTGGTTTTCTAAATGGTGACTAATAGCCAGTTAAAATATTCTTTTAACTCCCTTGCAGAAAAGTCTGACCATGTGACTAAGTTCTGGCTAGTGACATGTAAGTGTCCCTTCCTAAATAAAAAGGCAAAGCCTAGCAAGGAGGCCTTCTGCCTTTCACCCTTCATCCATTCCCTCTTTCCTGCCTGGAATACGGATGTAATGCATGAAAAAGGCTATGAGGATAAAAAATGATACAACAAGGAAGACAGATCAAAAGATTTGGGCTTCTTGATGGCATCGTTGAGCTATTATATAGACCCTAGAAAGTCTGCATTCAGACTTCTTTTTACATGAGACAAATAAACTCCTATTTGGTTAAATCACTAAATATGAGTTTCTATTATATGCAGCCAAGTACAAACTCCAACCAATACAACTTGAAAACTGATAAAGTCTTTATCTGGACCTCATCTGGGCCCCATTCCCCTTCCCATCCTTGGAGATTCTGGATTATTTCTGGGCTTCAGGAGGAGTTAACATGATAACATTTATAAAGATCCTAGTAGAAGGAATGTTACATGGTTATGCGGACAATAGTGTGGTGAAGGCCGAGAGGAGGTGAGGCAGGGAGTGGGATGGAGGGTGTCAATGGGGATAAGGGAAGGGGGGGGCATCTGTAATACTTTTCAACAATAAAGAAAAGAATTTTAAATATATTACAGTTTTTCTTTTAAGGCGAACCTACAACATCTCTCCTGCCCCACCCCACCCACCCCTATGTGGCAAGAGCCATCTACTGCATTGAGAAGATTAGAGTTGTTAGACCAGGAAAGTAAACACAAAGGCAAGGTAAAAGGAAAGCCTAATTGGTTATCCTGAGGTCCAGTTTGAATAGAAAAGGCAGAATAAATACATGATTGTTTTCTTTTTTAAAAACAATTTCAAAATAATGAGTTAAGTCCCTAACCCACCAACAGTGACCATCCTTGCCTAGTGGGAGCCTATTTGAATTGGTTCTTAGTCTTTTTGAAACAATCCTAGTGGTTGATACTTTCCTTGCTTTCTGTAAATATTAAAAATAAGATGATATGATGTCTGGTAGTTGATAATTGTTCAAGCTGGGTGGTGGCCCCATGGAGGTTCATTATACTATATTCGCTTACATTTGTAGATGTCTGAAATTTTCCAAAATAAAAGGTAAAGATAAAATATGTTCAGCCTATGACTTCCAAAAGAAGACCTTGCAATCCTTAACAAAATAATGGTCTTAAGTGCCTGACTCAGATGGGAGAAAAAGAGATTTCTGAGGCTTCTCTTGACGTATCAAGAGTAAGTGTAGATAGAGGTCTGAGTATATACTCAAATTCATAGGGAACAAGCTTTCTAGATATGACCCACATTCCCCCCAGATCCCAGGAAGGCATTTTTTTTTTTTTTAATGGCTGGCTTGAGCTCATTGGTTCCTTCCAGTCAAGCCTTCATTTGTCAACCACTCTTGCTTACCAGGGTGGTTCCAGACTTGTAGGCACCCTCCAGCCCTAACAAACACACACACACACACACACACACACACACAATCTTCCTCAAAAGCCCCACAGGTTTCTCATGGGTATCTCTTGGTAGTTTTGGTGGTGGTCACACAGCTGAGTAAAAGGGATATCCCTCACCAACCGGTTTGGCTCATTTGCTCCCACTCTTTGGCCCATATTCTTGCCTCTAATCTCCAACAAGTGTGACTCGTTTTCTTGTGGTCAAGGGGCTTTTGCTTTCCAGACAGGGCAGGAAAGAGCACTGAGCTGGGAGTCCAGAGGCCAGCATATGAACCCTGTCTGTAACTCAAAATGACACTGTGTTGGGTCTCAGTTTCATCATCCATAAAACTGATGAACACGTCAGTGTTCCAACCATCCAAACCCGAGACTGCAGGAACAGACAGCCCTCTCGGCCTTCATGCCATTTCACCAGACACTTTTCCACCTTTACACATTACATCACCTGCTAAAGAAATATGTAACTGTCGTCACTTTTTGCAGATAATTGGAGAGGAGGTGCCCGGCGGCGTAGATGACACCAAAGTTGGCAGCACTCTCTGGCTTTGGGAATCAGGTACGACATCGACCTGTACGATTTCTCCCCTCTGTCCTTGCTCTCCTGCAAATCCTGACCCCAGTTCCCACTGCGGAGAAATCTCCTAAGAGACGGCTGCCTTCGTCTCCTCTGCTCCCAAGAGGCGTGGAGCACAGGACGCGGGAGCTGAGTGCGCGGCGGCCACGCTCCCCGCGCAGAGCGGGAGGGAGGGGCCGGAGGGGGCCGGGCAGCTCCGGAGGCGGCGCGCGGGACTCGCGGCCGCTCAGTCTCCTTCCGAACCCTGCCCGGGCTGGCGGGTGGCGGCGAGCGCGAACCGAAGCCAGAGCCCGGGCCTCCGAGCGGGAGGCAGAGGGCCGGAGAAGACGGTGGGCTGGAGCGCGGAGCGCTTAGCTCCCCGCCGAGTGCGCGTCCTCCGGGCGATTCCGGTAAGTGCGGGAGGCCGAGCCTCTGCCAGTCTCCGGGCTTGATGGCTGCACTGGTCATTGTCCCCGGATCCTGCTTGCGCGCATCCCGTTGCTGCGCTGCAGGCTTACAGGTGGCTCCGGGATGGACGTGGGTGCCTCAGGCCCCGCAAGGAGTTAGCCAACTCTCTCGGTTCCGGGGTGCAGTTTCCGAGCCTTCGCTTCTCCCACCCAACCGCCCTTGCTTCCGGCTTGGGGTGGGGAGAGCGCAGAGGGGTGCTCCCTTTCCCCACCTACCCACGAACGATTCGGGGAGTTGCGGGCCAAGCGCCTCCCCGAGCTGCTTCTCAGCTTCTGGCTCGATACTGGGACGTCTGTGCTTTAGTTTATTTTCCTATTAACCCACCAGGGAAAGTTTGGGACCACACAAGGCAAAGTTGGGGCGCGGCTGGGGGCGCACTTCACCAGCGGAGGCCGCTCCCATGGAGCGGAGCGGTGGGTTTGCAGGTCCAGCCGGGCTCTGGCTGGAGATGATAGTGCACCCTGGGAGTTGAGTGGATCTCTAGCGGTTGCCCAGGCTCAACGCTGTCTGTGACAATCTCCAGAGAGCTATGAGTCGCTCAATTGTCCCTATTATGAGTATAGACGTCTGCCTGCCAGCCAGCCGGGAATCTCTGTGATGGCTCGGTTTATCTTAGGGATAAACAGCATCTCCACCTGGTCTGACTTGTGCTCTTGCTCTGCAAACCCGAGCTCCAGCTAATCTCTGTGTTTAACTGGCGTGTGTTTAATTAGCTTATTTTACACCTGAGATGATCTCAGCGAATGTCACTAAAGTGAAATTGTTGATATAGGGGGGAAAAAAACAAACACTGTTTTTAAAGAAAGTTAGAGAGAGGAACCTTCAGAATATTAGCCGTGGTGTCTGGATATTTTATCCATCTCCTCTGTGGGCTAGAGAATGAAAACTGCTTGAATATCTCACTGACTAGGAGTGGTGTTGGGGCTATTTTGGGCAGATTTTGTGGATGGAGGTATTGCTGCAACTTGCTTATTGTTATGAAGTACACATTTGGTCTCTTGAAATAGCTTACTTGTTAAGAGTTGTTTGGTTTACTAAGTTGTCTTTTTAAATTATGACTAAAGATTGTTTTTTAAAATGACCTTTTAGCTGAAAACAATATCTAGATGTTCAGGGAAGACAATTTGTTCATGTCGCTAGAACATTCTTTTGTAAACTTAAGTGTTTTAAGGGCTACTTTTCTGCATCGGATGTAGGAGGAGCTTTTCATGAAAAATAGGATCCTGAGATCTTTATGTGTTCAGAAAAAGATTGCTACCTCCTCCAACCCTCAACCCTTTCCGAATGATAGATTAATTGAGAAAGGTGTACCTGCATCTGAAATTACATAATCGGACTAAAAGAAAACAGTGAACAATTGTTGGTTGTCAAGTACATAGGTAGTTCTAAAAGAAGTGTATATTTTTAGCACTAGGAGGTTGTTATATGATTTAAGGTGGAATAAACTGATTGGTTTTTATCTGTAAAATGTTTATACATAACACACACATCTACATAGTCTATACCTAATGTTGGATTTACCAAAATGTTTGGGTTTGTATATACATTATTGTAAGTGCCTACTATGTGCCACATCCTGCTTCTAGTACTTCGTGCGCTTTAACTCATCCTCAAAGCAATCCTTGGTGGTAGTTGCTGTAATTGTCCTAATTTTTGAAATGGCATAACTGAGGCACAGAGGAGTTAAGTAACTCACAGAGCTATAGGATAGGACTGTGTCATATCTACAAAGTTCTTTTGGTTAAAAAAAACAAAAAAACAAAAAACACCACCTATTTTAAGATTTACTTATCCTTGTTTTTATTTATTTTTTTTTAAGCATAAATGTCAAAAGTATTTCCTGTGAAGCATAAGAATCCCTGACTGTGGAAGTGCCTCACAAGCACCATTAACTATAAAGTGAGGCAAAGTATGAAAGAACCATCTGGTTGAGCTTACAATTGGAAGACCACCGCATCCACCAGAAGACCCAGGATGGATCTGCACCAGAGCGCCACCATCACTTTCCTTGAGAAATGGTGTTCAGATAAGTCACCATCTGTCTACAGGAAACATTATAATGTCAGGAAAAAATTGAAGTTAATTAGAATCTTAGGCCTTTTCATGGGCCTGGTAGCCATCAGCACTGTCCCATTTTCAATCGGTGTCTTTTCTGAGACAGAGACACAAAGCACAGGAGAGGCCAGGGGTGCAAATGGCCCTAGGGTAGCACAAGGTTACCATCAGAGAACTCTCTTAGATTTAAATGACAAGATTCGGGATTATACTCCATTGCCAACTCATTCTCAGGAAGGCAGATCTGAGAATAGTACAGATCATGACCAAGGAAACTACCCAACAGATCTCTTTTCCCTCGAGGATCGAAGAAAAGGTGCCATCATTCTCCATGTCATTGGAATGATCTACATGTTCATAGCCTTAGCCATTGTCTGCGATGAATTCTTTGTTCCTTCTTTGACTGTCATCACTGAAAAGCTGGGCATCTCTGATGATGTTGCTGGAGCCACCTTTATGGCTGCTGGGGGCTCAGCCCCTGAACTTTTCACATCTCTTATAGGGGTGTTTATTGCTCATAGCAATGTTGGCATAGGCACAATTGTGGGCTCAGCAGTGTTCAACATCCTCTTTGTTATTGGCATGTGTGCTCTGTTTTCTAGAGAAATCTTGAACCTGACATGGTGGCCGCTCTTTCGGGATGTGTCATTCTACATCATTGACTTGATCATGCTGATCATATTTTTCCTGGATAATGTCATCATGTGGTGGGAAAGCTTGCTTCTCTTAACAGCTTATTTTGCTTATGTGATCTTCATGAAATTCAACGTCCAAGTGGAAAGATGGGTGAAGCAAATGATAAATCGCAATAAAGTCGTCAAGGTGACAGCACCAGAGGCCCCAGCAAAGGTTGGTGGTGGTGAATGTTATTTTAATGTTCTGAATTATTATGTTTTGGGATCTGCCTTTTTTTTTTTTTTAATGTGATTGTATTTGGGGCTGCAGTGGTTAGTAGGTTGCTTTCTATAGTTCTCTGATAGCCAGACTTGCAGTGAGAAAAAGAATGTGGGAATATTCTTGCGAATGTTTACTAAATTCTCAAGCTGTTCGCTTCAGAGTAAAGCACTTGTAAATATAGGTTACATAAGTACCCCAGAGCAGCCTCAGCAAACAAAATAACTTGTCTCTTATTTTCTGCAAGTAGGTGTAATGATTTTGTGAGCAATTTAATTTCCATGGGAAAATATGTTGTGTGCCTAGTGAGTGGCAGGGCCTTTTCATTTTAAGTGGGCACATGGCAATTATCATGAACCATTTCTTTAAAAGTGCTTAAGGAAGAAAATGTGTTTGTGTCACCAAAGCTATACCTTTAAATCTACAGCCTAGGACCTAGCAGGACTGGTCGTTAGAGAAGGTCATGTCTATTCATTATCCACACAATAATGCTTCAGACCACTTGGCCAGAAACTGATCCTGATTCATTAAAGAGAGTCATTGGTTGCATAGTATTTCATTGTGTAAATGTACCACAGCTTTTTTATCCACTTGTCTATTGGTGGGCATTTGGGCTGTTTCCAGATCTTAGCTATTATAAATAATGCTGCTATGAACACAGGGGTTCATATATTCTTTCTGGTTGGTGTTTTCAGGATCCTTAAGATACATTCCTAGCAGTGGGATCAAGAGGTTAAAAGGCAGTTCTATTTTTAATTTTTTGATGAAACTTCACACTGTTTTCCATAGTGGCTGTAAAAAAGAAGGATCTATTAGCTTTGAGACAGTGTGGAGGGACCTGGCGATTATTATGCTAAGCGAAATAAGCTAGTCAGAGAAAGACAAGTATCACATGATATCACTTATTTGTGGAATCTAATGAACAAAATAAACTCATGAATAAAGTAGAATCAGAGGCATGGAAGCATGAAGTAGACTGAGGAATCTCAGAGGGAAGGGGCTGGGGGCAGGAAGAGATTAACCAAAGAATTTATATGCATATATGTATTGCTCATGGACACAAACAATAGGGTGGTGAAGGCCTGAGTTGCCATGGGAACCAGGTGGAGGGGCACAATGGGGGAAGGGGGGGAACATCTATAATACTTTCAACAATAAAGTAAAAAGAGAGACAGAGAAAGTCATTGGCAAGCCCTGCAGACTGCTTTCATAGCTCCATGGTCCATTTTGCACACTTCTGTGATAAACATGACCCAAAATATTTTTATGGTAAACTTTGAGGATTTTTAAGGACAATAATGGTCATCCTGCCATTTAGATGGTAAGCCAATTGATAAAGAGCTTTGAAGAAATTGATCTGCAAAAATGTAAATCCTAACATTGGAATGTTGTCTCTGAATGTGATTTTAAACAGAAAGCCAAAATACATATGTAGACTTCACAATAGCATCTGGGGAAATTCTCATGTATGTAAAATACAGATGTTGAGTGGAGGGTGAGATATTTTGTTCAGCATGAAAAGGGAAAAAAATTATATCAATTTAGTGTAATTCCTTTATAGTCAAGTTTGATAACCCATCCATCTTTTTTTGTAGCAGCCATGAAATGAAAGCAAAATGCAGGGAAAAAACCACCAGTAATATTTCTATTTATTACAGGCAAAAGAGAACTGTCTTTTTTTTTTAACATTTTACTCGGTGTATGCTTGTTTGTTAGGAACTAGTAACAATAATCACTTCGCAATATACGTGCAACTAACCATTCAGATTTGATACCTGAGTATACCTGGGGGCCTAAGACAGGGTCATCACTGGCCCCTCTCCCTGTTCTAATTTTGTAACCAAGAGGGTGACCCTCAAGCTCTCTCTTTGAGCCTGATTGTTAGTTTGAGTGGTTTGCATTAACAGTCTGTGTGTTTATTCCAACTATAGTACTGAACAATTGCCAAGGGAAAAGCATATTTTTTAGGGGCAAGGAAACGGTTTGGTGTCATAGAAATATTCTGGGCACATCAAGGGTAAAATGTCTTTGTGAGAACTGAACACTTTTTGTTCTGTTACCCCATGGTGGGACTTCATTGACTTAGATACAGACTCAGCTTAAAGTTATGCTGGCAACATTTATGAAAAAGGAATTTGCAGGGCAATGCAATGGTATATTTAAGATTGCAGCAGCATTTTGTATTCTGATGGGTTACTTCTGTTTCTGACGCCCCCTCCCCAAATGTGTTCATGTATTATTTTCCTTTTAGTGCCAAATAGCTTTAATTTATCACTTTTAATTAGTATTATTTCCTTCAATATTCATTAACTAGGTTGGAATATAAATATCATGGAAACAGAATTTTTTAAACATAGCTATGTCTTGTTCTGTATTCGAAATGCTCATTCAGTAAATCAAAAATGCTAGCCCTGGCCAGTTTGGCTCAGCAGTTAGAGCGTCGGCCTACAGTCCGGAGAGACCCGGGTTCGGTTCCCGCTAAGGGCATGTACCTCGGTTGCAGTTTGTCCCCGGCCCTGGTTGGTCGTGCAGGTGGCAGCTACTCGATGTGCCCCTTTCACGTCGATGTTTCTCTCTCTCTCTCTCCCTCCCACTCTATCTGTACAAAAATTGGAAAAATGTCCTCGGGTGAGGAAAAAAAAAAAAAATGCTAGAACACAGTTAAACATTTTTAGTAGAACAATGCATAATGGTCTGTGATTTCCTTCAGGAAATTTGACTTTGTCAATTTCCCTTTTTGAATTATTGCTAAAAAAGTTTTTTTAGCACTTTGTTTTTATCGTACACCTGATTTTAGAATCTTATGGAGATATTGTTCCCCAAGTACTAAATATAAGGTGTTCCAAAGACAGATGAGTCCTTGAGTGTGGCCATGTAATTCTCTGATCTGCAAAGTTGACTTCTGGCTGTGCACACCACCTTTCCTGCAGAAGCCAGTGCTTCTAACATCATTAGAACACTCAGAAAGCAGACCTTGCACTGGCCGGTGGGGCTCAGTGGTTGGGCGTTGTCCATGCACCGAAAGGTTGCTGGTTTGATTTCTGGTCAGGGCACGTGCTCAGGTATCAGGCTTGATCCCTGGTAGGGAGCGTGCAGGAGGCAACCTATCAATGTTTTGTTCTCACATTGATGTTTCTCTCTCTCACTCTCTCTCCCTTATTCTTTCTCTAAAAATCAATTTAAAAATCTTTTAAGAAAAATTTAAAAATTAGAAAAAGAAGACACTAAGCCAAAATGCAGCCTTCAGTGGAATCTTCATAGAAAGGAATCTGCTTACATGAATTTAAGAAGCAGAAATACTAACCATGTTTCCATGCAAAGCCACTGCATTGTCTTATTTGCACAATTATGGGAATAGGAGTTTGGGGAAGTAGAGGAAGCATTTTAGATATTCTTATACAAATCATCAAAAGTTCTTGCTGAAAAAAAAAATCATCAGCTCTGCTGGAGTCTAGTCAATGAAATATCTTTGAAACTATTTGCTTTATAGACAAGTTGAAAATCTTAATTTGATTCTATTATTGGTGATGTATATCATGGGGCAACTGGAAAACATGGAAATGTGAACTGGCATTTTTTTCATAGTTAAAGTGATAGTTTATCATCTTCTTTATTTGCTTCACCCTGGGTATGTTTTATTTGTAATTATTTCTTTTAGTGATAATATTATCCTTTTAAAAAGTTGTGTAGTGCTATAACATAGTAAAGGTACCCTGGGCTTTGACTCAGTGAAAAAAAGAGGTTTAACCCCATTTGTGTAGAAGTCACATAAACTCTCTGAGCCTCCTAATGAAAATAATAGCACCTACTTTAGAAAGTTCGGAAAATTATTAAATGAAGAATGTTAAGGAACTAACATAGTCTTTGGCAAATGTGTGTTGTTCACTAAAAGTTAGCTTTCTTCTTTTTATCTTTCATTTTTAAATGAAAAGAGAATCAGGATAAATTATTTCAAATTTGAGAATTTCAAAACATTTGTGAAGGTTGGAATTTACCCCAGTGAATCACTGAGTTAAACAGGCTGTCGTCTTCCTTAGATACTATTTGTCATACTATTTATAAGCCCTAGATCACATACAGTGAATATATGCAGACCACATATTAATGCCTTTGTTGCCCTAAAATTTTATTGTGTAGAATTTTGCTTTAAGTAGTAGACCATTAGCTGGGGTTTAGAAAGATCTATGCTAAGCAGAGATTTTTTTTTTTGTAAGGGTATTTTTATTTATAAATGAGTGAGATTCTCATCTAAAAACCTCTCCATAGCTGGTTAGGAATAAATCTGAATCCTGAAAGGATATGAAGCAGTGGAATTTCAGGCCTGCAGAAGTATTTTGCAATGTGCCTGTCCGGCTGCTGAGGTCTGTTGATCTGTTATGGTGCTAGGCTGTCATTGGCCTAGAAAGCAGCTGTCCATGGTATTAAATTCTTAGACTTGGCACTGTAATCTGACAGCAACTCAGCACAATTGTAATGAAGGGAATGGTCTAAATAAAGATGCTTAAAGCTGGATAGTTGAGGAGCAGGCTAGTTAGTAATTTAGGTGTGCCTTGCTTTATTCACTTTGTGTGTTCCCGAAAAGTTGTCTGGAAGCAGAATTTTTGCAATTCAAATTGTTATGAATGTTCATGTGAAAATTGTAATTGAAATAATGTTATAAATATTCCTCATACAATGAACTATTTCTTGTAAACCATAAATAATTTCATAAATACAAATGTATAGTCCCAAGCTTGCTTAAAGCACAGAATATTTTATAAAACTCAACCTTTGCTTCCCCTCCAAACCTAGTAAATAAATAGTAAAATAATTGTATACATTTCAAGGAAGGTAAGGTAAGATCCTCTTTATAATAATTAAAGGATAGTATTACTTAATAGACTTAGAAACTGTCCTTCTCAAAAGAAAATTTTGGCATTAAAAATCTTAGCAAACTAGCCCTGGCCGGTTTGGCC